TTGCCAACTTACAATACTTTACCCATCAGGAGCTGTTCTTTCCAAATAATTTCTCTCCCCGGTCAAAAAAGTAATCATGATTAGTACTGTTACCTGCTGCTATGAGTAGGGCAACAGGAGGTGTTGTTTGGTCTTATACATCGTTGATAACATAGCAAACGTTCGGGATGGAGGGGTGAGTGTCGGGAGGAGCGCAATGAGCCCGCCCCGTATGCCCTGCTCTACCAATGGTGATCGGGGGATTATCCATAAGGGAAGAAAACAACCAACGGTTGAGATGCAGCAGATGGATCCATCTTCTCCCTCTTGGAACCGCCCCGAGTGTTTGCGACGATATCGACTACAGGAAGTCAACTGGACCTCCAAGAGATACGAGGAACTTCGGCGATCTTTCAAATAGTCGTTTTGCTTTTTTTGAAAGAAAACAGAGACCGAATAGCAAGGAAATCATAACAACCGCACGGGTCCCGATTACAAATTCATGCACTTGACGCCTATATCCCTATATCTACCCACCTCCAGCGACAGTCCTCCACTGCGCCCACAATTACTTTCTTATCCCCGGATCGGGGTAGGCGCGGCAATTGGATGGGATGGGATGGGTCACTCGCGGGGTTTTTCACTTGAGACAAACCATCTTATTTTGTGTTGGAGAAAGACATGATTACAACTGCCCCAAAATTAAAATATCTCACAAAAATCTTGGCCGCTGCCAGTTCAAGTATACAACCACTCCTACCACATCTCAGGGACTCTGAATGTGTCTTCCGGGGTGTTCCTTCCCCCATCACCACGGAGGTAAGGACTGGACATGTGCCTCACATCAGTATGACAAAAAGTTGGCTCACCTGAGCCTCAGCAGGTTGACAATGTAGAGGTTTGTCGAGCTTGGAGTATGCGTCTGCAGCGTAAAGGAATTGGCTGAAGACCGCTGGAGTTCGGCTGCCGAAGCCATACAGAAAGTTCTCCATTGCAATGTTTCTAAAGCAGAAAAGTATTTAAAAAATTTAGGCAGTGTTCAGATTTCGCGGTGACGCGCTACCACTGCAGTGGCGCTCCAGAGCTATAGAGGGAAGCGCAGTCGAGCCGCAGATGGGTATCGATCGCTGCCGACCGGTTGGGTTCTAAAAGAGTTTAAGATAACAGGAAGGTGGGCGCTGCTTTCACAAAGTCTGGTACCCTCCTATTCTTTTATACTCTCTCAAAACACTTGCAGCCGGCACTGGTCGATACTGCTCTGCGGCTGCGTTCCCGTCTATAGCTTTGGAGTGCCTTTGCAGTGGCAATGCGAAGACTGGACAAAAAAATCATTGAAAAAGGTAACTTAAAAAAGATTATTACGAGCCATAAGAATATTGTTGATGACGGGCATCACATCGTAGAGATGCGTTGACGGTGGAGATTCTTCGAGCCATAGACTGTTATTCGACCAGACGTGCATTGGTAATACAAGAAGCATATGTAGCAGTGTACAATCAGCGGACCTTAAAGAACGTTCAATGAGTTGACGACGCAAGTCCCCTCAGAGGGGTTGGGGCATTATAGGGCTCCTTGTGCAAATCTGAAACTAGCAATGGATATGAGAACTTTTGCCGGGGCTGAAAATTGAAGTGAAACCGATTTAAAGTGAGCAATCAAGCGAGGCATCAAGGTGGTGTACTGCGTGGGCCAAACGTATTCTAATCAAGGGTTCATGTCCTAGGCAAGTCTGGTCCCTGACCCGCTCCCAATAAAGGACCGAATATTCGAGTGAATGAAAGTTCCCAAAAAGTGGTGGTACAAAGAGCTTCTGAACAATATAAACATTTTTTAACAAACTCACCACGTACCCGCCAAGTACACCTCTGATATCTTCCACGTACTCTAGCATCCATTGGAAAAGCAATAGATTGGCGGAGCGCAGAGCGATATGTAGAGGAGTTTCTCCTGAAGAAATCCGCTGTTTTCCCTTTGAAATGAAGCAAGGTATGTACGGTCATGATCCCTGAAAACGTCAGAGCATGTGGGGAGGGGGAGAGGGCGTGAATTGGATCGCAGCCAGAACTGCCTCCCGCCAACTGTTGCGGACTCACGGATCGCATCGTTGACGAGAAGATCGCTTTGGCTGCACTCCAATCCACGCCCCATTACATGCCCACGAGCTCCCACCCATAGGCAGCCTCTCAATCCGTTTCACTCTTTCAAGTACGTACCGCTCTCGTTCTTCGATTCCACGTTTCCGCCGTACTTCATGATCGATTCGAAGCACTGCCTGTACTCGTTCTCAGTCATGCCGTCTTGTCTCCCATCCTTAGGATCACGGAGTCGAATTTTTATGCCAGCAAACACATGCATTATTGAGTTCCCCATGCTGTCAGCTAGTGAGCAGTCTGCTCCACTAAATAAACATTCCTTTGAGAAAGATTATCTGCAATTACAGGACCTGATAACCTACCGTGACAGGAGATACTGTATTTGTTCTGGCAATTCGCTGTGATTGTCCTCGTTTGCATATCGAAGCAATGAGGAGAGCAGTGTGACTCCATCCATGTCCTTTCCGTTGATGTCAACCAATGAGGACTTCTCCTCAAGCAGCCATCGGACGATACCGTAGTGACCTGGAACATTACTTTGTTAAGCACCACACTTCTAGAAGAAATCATCCAGAAATGTAGGCACTCTTGTTTAATGGGACGGTCTATGCCCATCGTATGGGCGGAGCCAGGTCTACCACTGTGCTTTCCTCATTGGTTCTCCCTCATTTGAGTGCGTCAAGGGGAGGGAGCTCTTCGATGAGGAAAAGAACGACGGTGAGCCTGTGCTCATATGATCAGCTTTTAGCACAAGGCCAGAAGAAAAAATAAGTCAAATTATCAAGGACCACCACCAACTGTCAATAATTATCGCAAGGTCTCAAGGATTATCATCAAGTATCATCAAAAACCATTCTAACCTTTCAAGTAGGCAATCGAAAGCGGATGTAAGTTTCCAATCATTCTCTTGCTTCAGACAGCTCGG